TTAAGGCTCAGGCACTACTATGCGTGACGTGCGGCACAGCAAGAGAAAGAGCAAAAAGATGATTAGAAGAAAACGAGGAATGCACAGGCCTATAAAGACTACAGTAAGGCCATCACCCATGCGCTTTCAACTGGGAGAGGAAATCTGTTCCTGTACTGAGATGAGCACAGCAACCATTCTGGATGGTGATTAGAGTGTTGTGTCTTTAGAATTTCTGTGTCTAATTCCCTGTTTACACCTGGTATCAAGATGCGTTTTGATCGACTGGATCACAAGTAGACGTGGGAGACACATTCCCGTTTACCCCTGGTGTTTTCATCCATCTCTTTTGTCCACTTTCCTGATTTCTTTGAGGGGCAGGTGTATGTATGGGCTTTTTCTGATCTCTCAAATGAACGTGAAGGAGAGGAGAGCAGCAACTTTAATTTCTGCTCTGATAGCTGCAAAACCACGCCGAACGCTGTGGGTTTGTGTAAGAATCAGGAATGGTAAGAGAACATTGTGCAACCAAGGCTCATTGGAAATATGTGCTAGTTACTGCAATACCGATATTAACTTACTACACATTTCGCCGCATGAAATGTCCAGTGAGAGGCGCTAAAACGCACATTCAATATGTGACTATGACACATTGTTATGTTGGTACAGGCATGTATTGCTGTTTTTATTACATGTTATTATCGTGTTAGAAAATAACAATCCCTACACCAAACCAAACCCAACCCTAAACGTACCTGATAGTGTTAACGAATGCAAAAGTGATATAACAACACATTCACTGATGCAGCTGTGCTATTTTTACTTTTTTAGCCTTATATGCGGGTTTGAGCTGTTTGGGATTCGCACCTGAGCACTTCACCTCACAACTGCAATGCCGTATTGCGTGAGCTAGCGAGCAAATGTACTGTGTTAGAAAACCCATACATAGGGCTGGACAATAATTCAATATCAATATGTATCGCAATATAATTTTTTTCAATAACGGTGATATGATTTTTAAACACATTTCCGATATTTCGATACACATTACCAGTGTTTCCCATACATTGATTTATTTGTGGCGTTTGACTTCGTTGAATAAACATGAGCACTGCACGTTTCAAAATCAAAACACGTCGCGGGTGTTTTATATGAATGTATCTCTGAAGGGAAAGGACTGTCTTCAGAAAAGTTTCAATGTCATTTTCAATTTATCTGATAAAGAAGCGTTCGTGAGCGGAGCTGATTTCATTACAGCCGTTACCAGGGAAACCAAAGATCCAAAGATCAGCATTTATCTGAAATAAAAAGCTTTTGTAACATTATACACTATACCATTCAAAAGCTTAGAGTCAGTACGATTTCTTTCTTTTTTGTTTTTGGAAAGAACTTATAGAAAATAATACTTTTATTTAGCAAATTTAGCTTTAAATTGATCAAAAGTGATGATAAAGACATTTATAATGTTACAAACGATTTTTATTTCAGATAAATGCTGTTCTTCTGAACTTTCTATTCATCAATGAAACCTGAAAAAAATCTACTCAGCTGTTTTCAACATAATAATAAATGATTTTGAGCAGCAAATCAGAATATTAGAATGAGTTCTGAAGGATCATGTGACACTGAAGACAGGAGTAATGATGCTGAAAATTTTCCTATGTATGATCACAGGAATAAATTACATTTTAAAATCAATTCAAATAGAAAGCGATTTTAAATAGTAAAAATATTTCAACATTTTACTGTTTTTGCTGTACTTTGGATCAAATAAATGCAGCCTTGGTGAGCAGAAGACAATTCTTAAAAAAATAAAAAAAAATAAAAAACAACATTAAAAATCTTACTGTTCAAAAACTTTTGACTGATAGTGTAGGCTGGTTATTCTTATAGACTGAAACAAATGTGCTTCAGCCAGAAAAAAGGGTATGAAAAGTGCTCCGAGTCGCTGCCGAAAACAAAAAAATTGAACAACAAAAACTGGAAATGTTGCTGGAGACGGGCTTATTTAAAATGAAAACTCATTCTCTGCCTTCAGATAGAAAACAGTTATTTTAAATAGTAAAAATATTTCAAAATGTTACTGTTTTTGCTGTATTTTGGATCAAATAAATGCAGGCTTGGTGAGCAGAAGAGAATTCTTTAAAAAAATTAAAAATCTTATTGTTCAAAAACTTTTTACTGGTAGTGTATGTTAGCCTATAGTTATTAACTATAACTATATATATTAACTATAACTATAACTATATATATAATTAACTATAGTATGTTAGCATATAGATATTAATATTAATTAGGTGAGTCTGAGACGATTATTTGACAGTGATTTCACATTTCTTGTTTGTATGAAGGCTAAATACAAATAAAAGTTGAACATTAATTTATTTGTGCTGTTTTTTTTCCTAAAATATTATATGGTTTTATATGAGGGGTCATAGACTTGGCAAATTCATTTTTTCATAAGTTTGTATGCACAGACATCTGTTGTGGGTGTTCTTGGCAGTTTTTACAAGGCTTTTTTTAATAGTGTTCATATTGATATCAGAATTATATCATATCGACCGAAATTAAGAAATATATCGTGATATAAATTTTGGCCATATCGTCCAGCCCTACCCATACATATGAAGTTGTATATGCGACACTAACGTTCAAAAGTATCAGTTTTCTAATCTTGCAGCATGTTAAAATTGTTTTGAAGTCATAACATAATATTGTGCAAGGAATTGTGTGAAAATTAGGCTTTCTTAATCGAAACTCTGGCCCTGTAAATCATAATTTGTGTGAAAAAGAAATGAAAGTTGGCATTTACTGCCTCTAGTGTTAATTTCAACTGGAAACTGCAGTGATTCGTATGCATAGGTAAGTTTTTTTGAGTTTTGCAGAAATGTATGTAGTGGCACATATTTCCAATGAGCCTGTTACATTTTTTCACCTTCAAACTAAACTTACGATTTCAGCTGGAGAAGTTGAAATCCCGTCTGGCTAGCGTGCTTCAACAACACATCCCATAATGTTTAAGAATTAGATTTAGAATTAGAATTACACCTGTATTTAGTATTGTCGCCTTGCTATTGACAAAAACACAATTTAATGCCAGGTGTAAACAGGGCCTAAGTCCAAATAAATCGCTGTATATGTCATACACAGCAATCTGCAGCGAGAAAAAGAGATGAGGTCAATGATTTTCAATGAGAGTTGCTGTTTTCTGGTGACATGAGTGATTGAGGCTTGGCTGCAGTTCAACAAAACTGAGACGTTTCACTTTATGCAAATGAGTAGTGAGCAATCGGAGCAAAGACTGTGGAGATCATGTGATCCGTCTCGTGTGAGATTAAGGATGTGAATCGTAAAGAATTTAATGATTTTGATTCCTCTTAATGATTCCATTTCCTCAACAGTTTCATTAATAATTATTTTACTACTTTAAAGGAATAAAGGAGAAATGCTAATTTATTGAAAAAAATGTATGATTTCAATAATCATTTAAGCTGAAAAAAAAGAGTAAATAAATAAAATTAAAATAAAATAAAATAAAATTTAATTTAATTTGTGAGATTTTACTCAGACCACCAACATTATTAACACCAAGTCCTAACCGGACACGTGACGCCGCAAGACATGATAAAAATCCTAATCAGCCAAGTTGGCTATATGTGACAAGCAACAGGAAATTATGTTTTTGGATTGCTTTCTATTTCTGCTACATCACGGCTGACAGCTGATTGCATTTTATATAATATTAAAATCATTTAATTTTAGTTTGAATATCATTGTGCATGACTTTAATAGCCATAATGAAATAAACAACGGATAATTTACCACATATCTTGCAAATAAATTAAGAAAAATATTGTATCAAGTCACTGTGTACATATTTTGAAGTTTTTAATCATTTAATTATGTAATTTTCCATTTTGTTGTGAGTGTGAGACTGTGTGCTTGCAGAGAGAGCCCACCCACATGCTCTTCTGACTGACTGTGATTAATTTTGTTGCATCTTCTAGCCGTGTCGTGTCTGGTATGGACAGAAAAATTGCTTTGCGCTGGAATCTTATTGCATGGTGTCTGCTTTCGAAGAGCCTACTAGCGGCCAACAGCACAGCGACCTGGTGACCTCAAAAACACTATCAGTGTTGAGAAGGGCATAAGAAATTCTCTAAGTGAAAGCGCAATTCTGATCAGCTATTTTCAGACTTTCAGAAAGAGACTGCAAACAGTAAGCATAGACTTTTGAATAAAAGATGTACACTTTGCATTTAAGAGATCTAGTTTGGTTTAAATTGAATGATGCATGGCGCATAACATGTGGCACATGTTTAATTGATATGCATGTGTCAATGCATTCATTGAGCCCTGCCACCGTGAAGCCGGTTTAAATATTGCAGTTTTATGGCTCTTCTGTTGAGATGGAGCCCAGGAAGACACTATACAGCCTCGAGATGTGAAATCCATAATCCATTAAATTACAGGAACATTCCTGACTAACCAATGCCATCAGATAATGCAGATGTCAAAATGTGACACACCGCGCCCCGGCATATATCTATTCGGAACATACAGCAAAAATTAATGGACTGTTGAGAAATACCAAAAAGAAAGATCATTTTGTTGTCACGGGCAACTCTCACCATTGCAAGGGAGTGAAAGTTGTGAATTCTGTACATCTTGGTCATTAAATTCTAATAATATCATAGAGTACTGCATGAATAAACATAACCTCATGCATGATTGGTGTTGCAGAATCATTCAAATTACTGAGACGAAGAAAAATGCCCCAAAACTTAGTACAGGTAGCGTTAAGGTGTTACAAGCATGCTTTAGGTGCACTAATAACTAATAAAATGTGATACTCTACAAAATATTTGAACATGTTGTGTAGTTTTATGTTTATTAGAGCATGGAATTGTTAGCAATATTGAAAACAGCAAACAAACACTATTTGTAAGTTCCTATGAAGGCATTATGAAGCTCACTAGATTAAAGAGCGAGAAAAATAGAAGCAGAAAATGCAAACAGACCTGTACTGAGGTGGAGGAATGCCCTTTGCGTCACAGGTCAGCGTAGCCTCTTCCTCCAGTGAGCCCACTGTCAGATCACTGGGCTCCATTCGCCATTTTGGCCCATTGAAAGACTTATAATCCACACACTCTGAGAGCAAACAACAGAATACAATTACATATTTGTATCTTAATGCACAGTTTAAGCTGATGTGTGTCATTTTTCCAATATTAAAATCCTTTTTGCTATTATAACTTAATGGAATAGTTCACCCAATAAAGAACAGCACCATACCTGTTCTTTTATAAGGAGAGACAATTATATGTAAGCCATACTGTAGGTTTATTCCTTCAAAAGATAAACCGTAAACAATACGGCTTTGTGACGCTATTAAAACATTGATCTGTTTCTCTGAGTATCCCAGGCAGCCGGAGAGAGTGACACTGACTCAAGCAATGGTGTGAGCTTGGTGGCAGGAATAATGCCTGACTAATTTGTCTGACCAAAGGCTGATGGGTTTAAAGTCACCATGAATTCAAGATTGACAATTCTTATTGTTAAGGAAAATTACAGGGTTTATTATGAATGATTTATCTTTGTATTCATCATTATTATTATTTTTTTGTAACATTTAATCAAAAACTTCACCTCCTCCTCTATTCTCTGATGACATGTGCACCATTAAGACGACAACAACGATCCAATCAATTTCCAATGGACAAAATCAAGCTCCATTTTTATCTTCAAAAAGCTGTTTCATCGGATATACATCAAAATAGAGAATAAAAGATGATTGCAATTTCCGTTTCATGCAGACTTTAAGAAACCTGCTTGCAATTAATAATTTTTGCAATTCCTTTATGTTACGCTTACACTAGTAAAAAACAAAAATGACACACTTCAGCTTTAAAGGGGTCCTATTATGCTCTTTTACAAAGTCACCTGGTCGGGAAATGTCATCCCCCTTACCATAGCCGCTCTGCGAGCTTCAGTGTAAATATTGCGTCAATATCAAATAAATTTGAGCGCGATTTATTGACATTAGCACCATACCAAATAGAATTTTCTTTTGTTAAAGGCATAGTTCACTTTGAACATGAAAATTTTGTCATCATTTGCTATGGAACATAAAAGAAGATATTTTGAGAAATGTCACAGCTGCATTTTGTGCATACAGTGGAAGTCAACCAAAACGGTTTACCATCATTATTTAAATTATCTTCTTTTGTTTTCTGAAGAAGAAAGTCATACATGTTTGGAACAATATGAGGGTGATTAAATGATGGCAGAATTTCAATTTCGGATGAACTATCGCTTTAAGACCTTTTAAAAAGAAGTCTGTGGGTAAATATTCTGCAGATGACAGAGGCTGCGCAGTAACAAGCATGCATAAAGAGTGCAGAAACACGGACCATATGTGGTGAGATCACACCAGGTGTGTGGGTTCTAATCAAGTGCTATGCTCGCATCACTCAATTTCTGCTTAAGATGTTATCAAAGCGGCAAATTCACAGGAATCGTCACATTTAAGTGTGACATTTGTTTAGATAATGGGAACTAAGGCGCTCTCATATGACATTTACATTGTGCACCTTGAAGTTATACTTTACAATACAGTGTCTTTCTACAGTACTTCTTATCCTCTCCTCAACTTGACTGAAATTCTCAGATAAATGGAATGTCTCCATTCAGTGTTATGTTGCTTTTAAAGGATTACGTCATCTCAAGATGAAAAGTCCTATGACTCTTTTTTTCCATAAAAGATAAAAGAAGAAAATACAATTACAATGAACATGGACTGAAGGTTGTGAGCTTCAAAAAGGGCACAAAAGCAAAGAAAGGACAACTTGTATGCTGTATAAGGGTGTGCGATATATATCTTCTACAATAATATGGTAATACTAATTACTGTTTTAAAGTTGTTCGTTTAGACATTGAGTATATCTCCCACTAGTAAAATACCTTACAAGATAAAGGAGACATATTATGCCCCTTTTTACAATATGTAATACAAGTCTCTGGTGTCCCCAAAATGTGTCTGTGAAATTTCAGCTCAAAATACTCTACAGATCATTTATTATATCATTTTGAAAATGCCTATTTTGAGTGAAAGCAGAAACACGCTGTTTTTCGGGCCTGTCTCTTTAAATGCAAATGAGCTTCTGCTCCCTGCCCCCTTTTCCAGAATAGAGCTGGTCATTACAGCTCGGACCTGCTAAAAACATCTGTTTTGGTTCTGATTATCATGTTTATCGCGCTGAAATCATGCGTTTTAAACCATATGAGTTTAAACTTCTGATATAAGGTTTTCTGAGAGCACACATCTGAAGAATATGGACAGAAAGCGGCTGTCACAGCATGTGAGTACTAAACTAAGTTCCCATTCACACACAAGTTTACTTTAAAAACACACACGAATTACAAATACAGTCCGTTATGTCTGTGAAGGTAAACAGCTGGGAAATAAATCACTTGTTATAGATCTGTGTGGCAGCAGCAATATACAGTAAATAAATCAATAAATCCACTGCTCTGTTGTCTCCTCTGAGGCTGAGACTCTAGTGTTCTGTGCTCGTCTGTGCAGCCAAAGGCAGAACAGTTAGCGTGTTTTGCTCAAACTCGGTAATATTATAATGAGATCCCTTTGCCACGTCACCAAGGG